CGCGCATGTCAATGGCTCGTCTCCGAGGCTTGGCACACGACCCCAACCACGAGTTGGTCAACTCGGACTTCAAGGAGATGGAGGATTCCATCAACGAGCAAAAGAGCGCCGGGCAAGGTACTTGGGTGGAATGCTTCACTGGCCAGCCATCCGGTATCCCGCGTCTTGCATACCGTACCCTCGTCGGATGTGCTATCCAATTCTTCCAGCAGTGGACTGGTGTCAACTACTTCTTCTACGTAAGTTCCCTCGAATAACGACCTCACATGCACGCCGCTAATCGTCACAGTATGGCGCGACTATCTTCCAATCCGCAGGCATTGATGATCCTCTCCAAGTTCAACTTATTCTTGGTGCTGTCAACGTGGCCATGACGATCCCCGGGTTGTACCTCATTGAGCGAGTCGGTCGCCGTGTGCCGCTCGTCATTGGCGGTCTCTGGCAAGCTACTTGGCTGCTCATCTTTGCCATCATCGGTGTTGCGCTCCCACCGCAAGACAACCCCACTGCCGGTATCGTCATGATCGTCGCTGCTTGCATGTTCATTGCAAGCTTCGCCGCCACCTGGGGTCCTTTCATTTGGGTAATCATTGGCGAAACTTTCCCGCTCAGAACTCGCGCGAAGCAAGCCTCTTTGGCTACAGCGTTCAACTGGCTCGGTAAGCAACATGCTTTCTTATGCCGACTTCGCTTACTAACGACCATTCTTAGGCAACTTCCTGATCGGTTTCCTCACACCTTACGCTGACGACGGCATCGGATACGCCTTCGGTTTCGTTTTCTTCGCCTGCAACTTCGTCGCCGCCGGTGTCGTTTACTTCTTCGTCTTCGAGACCAAATCGTTGTCTCTTGAGAACGTCGATATCATGTACTCGGACCCGAGCCTATCTGCCAGGACCAGTAAGAAGTGGGTCCCGGCTGGATACATCAGCCGTAACGAACGCGACGACTCATACTGGGAGCGACGCCACAGCGCTGTTGGCGCTACTGGTGCTGTTGGATCTGAGAAGTATGGCGACAAAGATGTCGATACTTCGCCCGAGAGGGGCATGTCAGTGCATCAGGAACACATTGACGAGGAGCGCCGAGGTTAGGGTTTCTCTCGATGCATACTCAGGTTCATACCCTGGTATCTGGGACTAAAGATGCATTCGCACAGCTTAGTGACCCGCTTCCTTTAAGCATGACACCGCACTCTACCAAGCGGTATACATAATACACAGATTATCCCATTCAATACAACATCAACTGCTGTTTCCAGTGTCCAAGTCTGCTTTGTCTCCCGTTCCGTAAACGTGATGACAAAATGCCGACACAGCCACACCCCTGCTAAATTTAGCGTGCTGCGTGGCGCATTCCACAAACAACGCGTCAGCTCCACGTCTTCTCCCCAGCCACGCTCCGCTTTCACTCACCAGAACAACAAGAACAGCATCTTCATTCCTCTGTACTTTGGCTGCTCAGTACCCAGGCTTCCGCTCTGCCCACGCTCAAACACTTCACACCACAGAGACGTACAACTACACCGCCATGCCGCCAGCAGCGTCGCCTCGCAACACCAGCACGCTCGCCAAATTAGCGCGCCGGACCCTGGTCACAGCGGGGCCGGCTGTCGCCTCGCAGGCTTCGCATCACTTTGAGCGCCGCGGGTTGAGTGTAAATCACACCCAAGGGGTTACGCTGGGTGTTATTGCTGCGTATGTTGTCGTTATTGCGTTGTTGTGGAACTTGCCGTATGTACGGTGGGTGTTGTGGCCGTTCAAGGTATGTAGGTAGCGTGGGGCAATGGGAGATGTTGATAGCTAACGAAACCCACAGATGCTCGTCATAGCCTTTCATGAATTCTCTCATGCAATAACATCCTGCTGTACCGGCGGGCGAGTGGAGTCCATCTCCCTTGATCCCCATGAAGGCGGTGTAACGCATATGCGCGGCGGCAAGCAATTCATAACTCTGCCTGCTGGCTACTTGGGCTCCTCATTGATAGGTGCTCTGCTGACCTTCTGTGGCTTCAACATCGTGGCATCCAAAGTAGCGAGTATAGTGCTAGGCGTTTGCTTCTTGCTGACACTATGGTGGGCGAGAAAAGACTGGTTGACTATCGTCACAATTCTTCTCAGCGTAGGGCTACTGGTAGCCTTCTGGTTCATCGAACATGGCGAGGCGTTGAGGTTCATGGTCGTAGGTGTCTTTCCATGTCCCCTCGAAACGTCCTTGCTAACGCCGCTCCAGCTTTTCATCGGCGTCATGTCTTCTCTCTACAGCGTCTGGGATATCTGTGACGACCTCATTCTCCGTAAGGTCAACTCGTCTGATGCCAGCGTCTTCGCTAAGCGGTATGGCGGTTCGTCGCAATGCTGGGGTGTCATTTGGTCGCTTGTGTCGTTGGTGTTTATGGTATGCGGGATCCTTGCGGGGTTGGCAGCCTTTAAACAGAGCTTCGAACAGCAAGAGAAGGATAGTCAAGACTTTATTCCTACGGTACGGATGATGATGAGGGTGTGATCTGTCGTCCAATAAAAGGCCTTTTCTGGATTGGCGTCTGTAGATTCGGCATGCGTAGTTGGTGATGCTTGATATATCCGTATAGCATTGAGCCTTGCAAAACTCAGATCATTTATCACGGGGGAGTGACATTGACACTCGTAGTTCAAGGGCAACGGGAGTGTTTTGCGGCAGTAATGGTTAGCCGAAAAAGTACCTTGGAGTGAATGGAGTTGGCAACCGTATCTTCATTGACCCGGAAGAAGAAAGTTAAAGGTACAAGTTCCCGGTCATGCCATGCATGTAGCTCACGACCACCCGTCATGGTAAAAGAAAGGAAGTCGTTACCATCGAAAAGAAAAGGGGTCTCACACTTTTGGTCCGCGGCGTCACCAAATCCAATCTCCAACGTGCTCATTCCTACATGCGTCTCTACCACCATCTCACTCGCCTCCAAAGAATCCACCAAACTGCTGTTCCAGAGCCCGCTTCATCCGCTCAAGTACAACCCTGTTTGCAAGATGAAGAGGAGATCGTGTTGGTGATTTGCAGGAGATGGACAAAGTTAAGGTAACGTCGGGAAGTCTAGATACCCACGCAAGTCTTGATCGAAGTGAAGGTGAGAAGAGGGTAAGTTCAGAACGGTTACACTATTCTGATACCAAGATGTCGCCGAATGGAGCTGCTGCTTATAAGTGCTCGTACATCGAAGAATGTGTAGCGCTTACTGCGGTTGGTCACGGGAGGTGGCTGGCCAAAGGGAAGAGTGAGGCTAAAAAGAGGGTCGACACGTTCACATGTGATTAGATGAAGATCCATATGAATCGCAATATCTCCCCTAACGCAATCCCACCCCCTTCACACTTTCGAAAAGCGCCTCCTCTCTAACGAGCACGGCGCGATTTAAATCCTTCTTTTGCACGCTCGGGATGCCGCTCAAATGCAATGTCAACTCGAGCTCACCCACCAGACTCTTGAGCACATGCTCCACGCCTTTCTCTCCTCCAAGCGCCAGACCATACACATACGGCCTACCAATCAGCACGCAGTCGGCTCCTAGCGCCATGGCCTTGGCAATGTCAGCACCCGATTGTATCCCGCTGTCGAAGAAAATGGTCAACCTATCCCCAACGGCATCAACAATATGTGGCAGCACGCCCAACGACGAGTTCCCTCCATCGAGCTGCCTGCCTCCATGGTTACTCACAACGACGCCCTGCACGCCAATTTCCACCGCCTTCCTCGCATCAGCCAAGCTCTGAATGCCCTTGAGCACAATCGGCCCATGCCAGTGTTTCTGGAGAAACTCGACATCCTCCCAACTATGGCTCTCGCCCGGGAAAATCGTCCTCATCCATTCTGGCGCCGCAGCCTCCATCTTTCGTTCTACATCTACGCCATGTCTCGCTTTGAACTGTTTCCGGAACACAGGATCCGTCATGCCAAGTTCTACGCCTGTGCGGTCGGCACGCATGAAGGGGTTGTACCCGTTGTCCATGTCTTCGGGTCTCCATCCGAGGATGTACGTATCTAGAGTTACAAACAGAGCTGTAAAGCCGGCGTTCTTTGCGCGTTCAAGTAGCGAAATGGTGATGTCGTCGTGTTCGCGTGACGGCCAGTAGAGTTGGTACCAGCGTTGACTGTTGGGGCCGTTGGCTGCGGCAGTATCTTCTATACTCGTACTACTGGCCGTACTTAGGATGTACGGGATGGCTTCTTTTGCTGCTGCTTTTGCAGCCGCGACCTCGCCTTCTGGGTTGAAGATTTTGAGTACACCGACAGGCGCCATGGCGATGGGTGCTACCATCTTCTCCCCAAAGATTTCGGATGTCAGGTCAGGGAAGCCGTCGTACCTGACTAGGCGGTTGGGTACAATCGACCATCTTCTAAAGGCACTGCGGTTCTTGTCTGTGGTCTCCCGTACGCCGGCGGATCCGTATACGTAGCCTTTTGAGTCGGCTGACATGCGACTGCAGGCCAGCTCTTCCCATTTGTCAGCCTGGAAGGTGAGCGGTGGGCGTTCAAAGTCCAGTCCGCGCGTATATGTCTGCATTTCGTAGTCGACGGCATCTTGCTCTGGCTTGCGAGTTTGGAACTTGGGATGGTGTTGGGTCGCTGTAGGTTCGGACATGGTGGCTTTGGGTCTCTAACGGGTTGAAGTGAGGATTGAAGTTGAAAGTCGCGAAGAAACCTTCCGAGGGATGGCGTATGGCTAATGCACGTCACACCATGGCAGCTTCGCGGATACTTTCGGAAACGACGCAGTGACGTCACGCGCTGTCATGGCAAAGCACCTAGGTATGCCTAAGCATGCTGACAGATGGAGTACTTGCGGACACAGGTCCGTGTGGTGATGCATTTCTACCCGTCTAATAAAGTGCCTCTATGTGTCGGCTCCGTGATGACAGCCTGCGCAAAACATGCAGCCTCGGCCTGTGAAGAAAGGCGGGCATCCCAAACTCCATCCATGCAAATGACGACCATGGCAGTACAACAAGCAAGGCTACGTGGAACGTCTAGACAGCGACACAGCCGCCGTCAATCTTCAGGTGGCCGCCGGTCATGAACTTGCTGTCTTCGCTGACGAGGAAAGCGACGACGCTGGCCACGTCGTCGGGGCTGCTGAAGCGGTCGAGGGCAGTCTCCTCCTTGAGCTCGGCCAGCTTCTCCTTGCTCCAGCCGTCCTTGTAGCCGGGGGTCTGGATGATGCTGGTGTGGATGGTGTTGACGCGGATGTTGAGGGGGCCGAGCTCCTCGGCAGCGGTGAGGGCAATGCCGCGCAGGGCGAACTTGCTGGCGCTGTACGAGATGAGGTTGGGGAAGCCGCGCAGGCCGGCGATGGAGGAGCGGATGATGATGGAGCCGCCGGCGGCCGTCGTCTGCATGGCGGTGGCGGCGTACTTGACGCCGAGGAAAGCTGGCAGTGGTCAGCGGGTCACGTGGGGGGGGGGGGGGGGGGGGGG